TTGAAGGCCATGAGAAAGTCAAGTCTCGAAGCTTGTTTCATGACCAACGCGAGTAACGCAGACAGTGAATTGAAATTTGTTCAAAATTTTTTTCACCCGCAAAAATAGCAGCTTGTCGGAGGAGCAACAAAAAGTTCTTGATGAATGGAGTGAGAAGATCTGCGGCGATGGCGCGGTGGTGCGACCCGCCATCGACACAGACGCCTTCCAACGGTTTGTGTTCATTTTGGATTCTCGAGCACAGGAGTTGATTGCCCTGCGCAAGCATGATCTCAAGGCAGTCTTTTCGTCGCATATTTGCAAAACCGATTTCCAGTTAAAGTTTTGTCAAAATTTTTGGCAACGAAATGCTGACAAGTTGAGTTCCGAGCAACAACAGCAAGTGGAGGATTTGTCGGCCGTTCTCCTTTGGCCTCGCACACAAGACGATCGTGCGGCGTTGCGGCCCGCGATTGTCCGGATGGTGGAGAAATTTGAAGGGATCATTGATCGGAGGAAAGCCGAATTTTTGAAACTGGGTGCTGCCAGTGCTCAAGGCCTTTTTGCACGTCACAGTCTGAAGACAGATTCCGAACTACGATTTTGTTACGACTTTTTGAGTCGTGTGTTGCCTAAGCTTGAAGATGCAGAGCAGCAACGGCTGCGTAGCAAACTCGAAGAGGTTTTGGTCAAAAGCTGCGCTGTGCCTCTGAAAGCGCCTCATGAAGCAAAACTGCATGTCGCAGAAACAGTCTTAGGTGATTCGCTTCCACGCCCACGAATGCCAAAGAGTTTGAGGCAATTGTTTGGCAATAGCATGGATGCAGAAGCCCGCATCATGCCTTTCTTCCACCGTGTGCACGAGGTGGATGAGTTCATGGTTTCGTTGGAGTACCAAAGACTGTGATTACTGTCATGAAGGGTGGTTTGGCAGCAGCAGGAAAAGGGAAGACTTGCCAGGTGGCTTTGAAAGCGAAGCTTACAAGAAAACAAATTTTTTGCGTGCACCTGAGAGCCAATGGTTGGATTCTAACCGGCCTATTTGTCAAAACTGTTTGCTGGAAGCGAAGAGGCGTGCCACGGACGGCTACCCAAAGGAGCCTGTCCGGTTGACTGCCACGAACTTTGCAGACCCTGGTTTTACCTTACCAGAAACAGATGCTTTGAGTTTTTTCGAAGAAGAGATTCTGTCACCTATCCAGCACATAGTCCGTGTCTTCACCTTGCACACAACAGGGCAATGTGAGCTTCGTGGACACGTGGGTAACCTGTTTCAAAACGGTCCACAGTATGTGCGCAACATTCCTGCGGCCATTGGCGACATGAAAATGTTGTTGATACGGCGCTGCCCGAAAGACCCAAATCGGAAGCAGCGAGTGCCCTTCTTGGTGTCGAGGCGGCGCTTAGAACGTGCGCTAGATCGCATTTGCCGTAGTTTGGAGGAGGGCGGCTCCTTAGCGCTTCAGCCCGGAGCATTGACGCCCGGTGGGTATGTCGAGTTGTTGAAGAAAGAGAACTTGGGGCAATATTCAGACACTGAGGAAGGTGAGGAACCCCATGGTTTGCAAGTTGAGGTGGTGGAACAAACGCCATGGGAGCGAGTGGAGCGCAAGCTGTTCGCTACGTGGATGTCCTGTTCCTTGGAGTTGCAGATGGCCGCACAAGTGCGCTTGTTGCACGAGCCGCAGGATGCGCAGGACCCGGCGGAGCGGATGGATGTTTTGTGGCAGAATCTCCGCGCTGCCATGGATGCCAAAGCCCCGGATGTAGTTGGTGGCCCGGCAGACTTGATGTTAAAGACGCTTGCCCAATATTTGTCCCTGCAGTTCTCCGACAAAAGTGTGCTCTCAGTGGAGAACATTTTACACGACGAACTGACTGCAGTGCAGGAGTTGGCAAGCTGGGAAGAGCCTTTGGTGTCTGATGGCCTTTGGTCGCCTGAAGATGTAGCCGGGCAGCAGACGGAAGCGGAGTTGAAAGATGAGTTGTGGGAAGCAGTCTGCGCGGCGAACGAGAGTGGCAGCAACAAATCCACCATCCGCCGCTTTGGAGCGGCTCGTGTGCAAGGAGTGCCAATTCTGGATCCTCCAACCGTAGCATCCAGAAACCAGCTTGTTCGCGAAGACCAGCCGTATTACATCGTTGCTGGTTTTGTGAAATTGTTTCCTCTTGGATACGGAGATTTCTGGGCACATCTGCATCAGCGGCAAGAAGAGAACCAGCAACCTTTGTCTTTCTGGGAATGGCTAAAGCATTTGCTTTTGCGCTCTGATGGCAGGTTTCAAGCCCATCCCCGGTTTTATTTCTTTGCGTTGAACACTGCTCTGAGGAACAAGGCGTTGCGCGCCCGAGGGTACTTCATGAAGCGGCAGCAAGGAGCCAGCAATAATGTAGCGTACACCACTGAAGAACTTTTCAACATGGGTAAAGCTCAGTTCACCAAGATCGTTTCCGCTTTCGAACATTCCATGGCTGGCTCTGCGCAGGAGAAGTTGAGACAACGCAGTGACTTAGAGGCCATGGTGGAACAGATTGAGCAAGAGACCTTGCAAGACCAGGCTCACGCTTTGTTACAGTCTTGGCAGACCGCTGACCTAGCTTGCAAACTGCTTGAGCAGCAAGGGTGCGCTGCTGCCACGGCGGAGCTGCAAGCTGCTTGCCTCGCTGCAAAAGCTGCTGTTGAGAAAGTGTTGTCGCCTGAAACCATAGAAGCCCAAGCCAAGCCTTCCGTCTCGCGCGTCGATGTGGACCGCGGGATGGATGAAGCAGCTCAAGCCGATGTCGCGCGCGTCGATGTGGACCGCGCGGCAGAACCCTTGCAGCAAGAATTTGAAGTCAGTTTTCCTGAGCAAGATAGTGCTTTTGTAGGTTCAAGGCCTGGTTCCGGGCGCAAAACCCTTGAAAGTTTGTTGTCTGAAGTGCAACAGCGCAGTTTGTGCGTGCAAGGCGGTGGCGAGATCCCGTGTCATTTCAGCACATTGACCACCGCCATCTACCATTGGGACGACCTTGCCCAATGTTTGGAGCGCTATGAAGCAGCAGTACGAAAGCGGCGGGGCGACAGAGCGGATCCTTTGGAACCAGCAGAACGGCAGTTAGCGCCGGAACGCCGGCGAGTCCTCCGCTACCCGGGCGTTGTCGCCTGGTTCACGGCTTACAAAATGGAACTGTTCTACAAACACGTGCTGAGGTACGAGGATGGGCAAGGTGTGTTCGAGTGGGGCGCAGGCGGAATCATGCACTTGCATTCGATCAACTTTGGATCATGCATGCCCCGTGTCGATCCAACCGCAGCAGGGATGCAGCAGCCAGATGAAAAGACAGCCGAGATATCCGCTCAGTTTGCTGAAATGCACGAGGAGTATTTGACCGATTGGAGCTTTGCAAAAGCCGAAAAGTGGAGTTTCCACTAGATTGACAATTGCGTTGCTAGGGCAGCTCGTCCTGGTTCGCCTGTGCATACGGATTCAGAGTCGGATGGATCGGGGGACATGGAGGAAAGTGCACTGCTAGAAAAATGTGTTCTCCGTAACACGGTAGATGCCGGCTTGCAAGTGGGCCTGTCTGCAGATGTCTTTGGACAGCATGCAGTTGCAGAGGATGTAGATTTTCAACGTGTCTTCCCAACTGCAACTAGCATGGTGTATGTGATTTCGCAAGGTGCGCGTGCCACCAAGGTACTCACGCAAGACGAGCGGCAGCTGCTACAAGACTTGGATTTGGACTTGCAAGATGCAGCTTGGCACGCTTGCCGCATCTCAGTGCAGCAAAAAGCTTTGCTAATGACGAACAACTGCCGGCTGGTCCGGCGTGCGCGCCGCAAATGGTACCGAAGACTCACAGAGAAGTGCAACATGCACGATCGGCACGCGGGCTTAGGTTTTGAGGCAAGCCCCTGCGGAAGGCTTCGATGTGTGTCTGCTGCTCAAGCACGACGTCGTGCAGAGTCGCCGGGTCACCATTTCGCCGTTGCCGTTACCGTCCAGCAGACGGTTTGTGCAAGCGCATGTTACCCTGCCTGCAAACGGATGCGTGCTTATGTTGGCGACGGCTCATTTCACCGCAGGCTCGAATGGGGACAAGGAAAGGGAATGTGAACTGGAAGCTGTTTTGGCGACTTTGGAGGCATTAAGTCATGTAGATTGCTGTGTTTTTGCGGGCGACTTGAACATGCGTTCAGTCGAAGGGTTGCCGGCAGATGTGTCCTCAAGGTGGCGAGATGCGTGGCAGGAAGATGGCAGTCCGGAAGATCGATGCGGCACCTGGCGCCCGGAGGCCGCGCCTGCGCAGGACGCACGAGTCTGCACATGGCGCTTTGATCGGATTCTGACCTTATGCCAGTTTGGTAGCATGGATAAGCCGAGTCCTACGCCGTTGCGGGCTGGGACAGAGGCTGCTGAACGGGTTTCTTTCGCCACTGTAGAGCTGCAGCGTGGATCTTTTGATGTTCAATTTCAAGCAGCTGACTTGGATCACGCGTTTGTTTCTGCAACTTTCAATGTCATGCCTTTGGCTGCTGGGGCGCGCGAGGTGTCGAGCGAGTGTTTGAAAGTGTTGCGACCTGGCCTGGGTCCCAAAATAGCGCGCAGACCTTTGGAGCGCGAGAGTTGCGCGCAGAGACAGCACGCCCAAAGTTTTTGCGGCAAGGACCACGAGAAGCCTCGCATGTTGCCCGGCATGGGCGCCATACTTGAAGATTCCCGCCGCAAGTCTCTGTTCCGTTTGTACACCCGTCGGAATTGCCACCATCTGAACACACACGACCCCTTGAAGGCCATGGGCTTGGTGGCAAACGTGGATGATCAAAATGTGTTGACGGCGCAAGCCGCCGTCAACTACTTGACCAAGTACTTGGGGAAAATCGGCGGGGGACACAGCGCACATAGCCGAATTAGTGGTTTGATCGATGACATTGTGTGTTGCATGGGAGATCGTGAGACAATGACCGTTGCATCCCTTTTGTCGAAGCTCTTCATTCACTCGGCTGTTCCGGAGGAAATTTGTTCCCTTGAGGCATGGCATGTTTTGCTGGACCTGCCCCGTGTCCAGGTATATGTGCCGCCTGTGTACATCGAAGCGACTAAAGATGCCGATACGGAAGAACAAGAGCCAGAGGTTCTGACTGCGCAGCTGCAGCAATGTTCTCTGCGTTGCGGGACCCTGAACATGCACTTGCTTTCGCCCGGTCCTTGGTTTGAACCTCTTCTTGAGCAGTGTGATGTTATGTTCTTGCAGGAAGTTACAACTCAGTGCTTGGAAGACTTGCTTGTTAGGGCAACAGAAAGGTTACGAAGTGGTGTGACCTCGTTGAACATCAAGGAGGATTCGAATGCTTTGAAAGATTTGGCCAGCGTGGAACTGGCAAGGGTAGATGAGAATGTTGTGAAAAAGAGCAAGGTGGCCCTCTACTTGGATAGGTTTAATATGAGAGCTCAGGCCGATATATCTGCAGCATCCCTGGAAAACATGTCCCTGTTCCAGTTCATCAGTCGCACGGATCGCCGTGGAAAGTCGTTGCTTTTGCGGAAAAAAAGCATAATTGTTAAGGAGAGGCCATTCCTGCGCTTGGACGCTCGTCGCAAGGAGGCGGGCGCCATGGCTCGTTTGTGTTTGCGCTTGCATCGACCTTTTCGAACGGAGGAGGATGACCCTATCCATCTCGAGGAAGCATCGGCCGTGACAGAGTTGCATGCGTTTGTGCAGAGTCCGACGTGCCCAGTGTGGCTGAAGAAAAGGTACGCTAAGCACAACCGGGTGAAGGCGCTGAGGCGCGCCGATGCAGCTGCGGACAACAGTGAGAGTCACGGTGCGGAGGTGTGTCCCGCCGTGCCTGCCGCCAGCGCAGCGTCGGTCCCTGCCGTAGCCGCCGCGACGATGCCTGCTTCGCCAGCAGTCGAAAACCAAGATGGGGTGCGCGGTGCGGAGGTGCGTCCCGCCGCGGCAGCGCTTGTCTCCAGTCAAGCAAAAGCAGCTACCCGCGCAGTCCACGTGATCAACTTGTGCGCCGGGCACAACCCGGAAGAGTCTGGAGCGGAGGATACTGCCGAGGGCAATCCGGATCCAAATGAGAAGTTTTTAGCAAACACACTGTCCAACCGGCAGATGATTGCCAATCGTCATGGGTTGTTGTGGATTAGTAGGCCTGGGGATCACCGTCACAGCATCGTGGATGCCGTTCGCTTGCAGCGACCGCCTTTGAAGATGGTGTGTGTCAAACAGTATCTGGAAGCACTGACGGAGACAAAGCCAAAAGGTTCTAAGAAGGTGCAGTTTTTTGTGGAGCGTTTTGTTTTCTTGATGTTGTACATTGACTTGCAACCCTACGAAAAAAGAGGAGCCGGTGTTTTCAAGCAGTGCTTAAGCAAAAAAGCATTGCAAAGCTTAGCAAATGCATTTTTCCAGTCACAGGGTTCCGCCGTCACTGGCAAGCAGAAAAAAAATGTGGTGCTCAAACCTTACGCCGAACTTTGGGAATACATCAAAGCGGAAACCTTGAAACAGTGTGGTTTGGCAGTTTCCTCTTCGCCAGCGCATCGTGTGGGTTTCGATGGACCGGTGAGCATCCCGCACGCCGAGCTCAAGACGGGCGCATGGCGACAGAGTGTGTTTTGCTTGGAGCCCCATTCCTTGGAGCATGAAGAATGGGAAGATGCTGCCGACCGGGAAGCAAAGAGGTTGCGGTATGTGCAAGCTGCAATGCATGAACAGAGCATGGGTCGGCCGGGGAAGAGATTACACGAGGTGTCGTTACCAGTCGACGGCTTTGATGTGCGCCGACTTCGATACTAGGGCCGAGTGGGACGCTTTGAACCCTTACTTGGACAACGTCCGTGCCCAGTGGCTGTGTCCAGAACTCGCCGTGAAAATTTGCCCTGAGACCAAGGGATATGTCTTGAAGCCGACGCAGGGGGGTCTTGCGCACACCGAAGCAGAGCAGATTACTGTTCACCAGGACAGATCCTCGTCAAGCACTACAGGCCCTGCGTTGGATCCGACGCAAAATTCGTTCGTGCAGCACATGCGTGCTTGGATGCTCGCGTACACAGCGGCACATGGGGTGTGTGAAGCCAACTTGCCCCTTCCCCAGAACCTGCAAGGGCCCCTGCTTTTGAATGAACCAGTACTCTTGCTAGGAACGGCAGGCACGGGCAAAACCACAACTTTGCAAGCTGCAAACCAGCTACTTGAAGCTCACGGCTTGAAAGGGCGTATTGTTCGTTGCGCCTACACTGGTGTCGCTGCGAGCAACATGGGCAGCGGAGGTCGAACGCTTGTGTCGTTGTTTCGCTTGAACAAGCGTAAATTTGGAGGAGGTTTGGAACCGTTGTCGTTTGAAGATCTTCGTGCCATGGACGAGGAACTGAGAGGCATGTGCCTGCTTGAAATCGATGAATTGTCCATGACCGAAAAACTGATTCTTGCGCACGTGCATCAGCGCTTGCAGCAGTGGAGAATGGAGCTGTATCATGGTCGGCATTGTCGCAGTCGCGCGGAGGTGTGTCCCGCCACTGCTTGTGTTTGCGGTGCCAGATTACCGTTTGGTGGCGTGAAGGTAGTGCTTGCAGGCGATTTTGGTCAGTTGCCCCCCGTCGCAGTGCCGCCCGAACGGACGCTGTTGTGTTCCAAGGCAAAATCAGTAGGCCAAGATCGGCGCGATGTGAACCTTGGCTTGCGGTTGTTTCAGCAGATTCGGGTCGTGTTTCGGCTTCGACGGATTCACCGGCAGGTGGGCCAGTCACTTTACAAGGAATCCCTGTTGCGACTGCGGGACACAGCGCGCACGAAAGAAGATGTTCAGCTTTGGAAGTCACACGATTTGACTGATGTGGCAGCTTGCACTCTGACCGTGGAGGAACGGAAGTTTTTCGAGGGCAAATGCGTGCACTTGTTTTGCGAAAACCGTCGTGCCGGACAATTCAACGGCCGACGTCTAGGCGAAGACGTCGCAGGCAAAGAAAACTCTACCATTCTTCGTGTTTGGTCCAATGACAGTACTCCTGGAGTGGAGCGTTACACCAGCGAAAATTATGGAGGTTTGAAGCGGGTGCTACATTTGGCGGAAGGGGCTCCGGTTATGTTGACCACGAACTTGCGGACTGTGTGGAACTTGGTGAATGGTGCCCGTGGTCACGTCGTGTCCGTTGTGCCGGCGGAGCAGCACCCCGCCGTGAGCGGCGATCGGGTCGAACCGGGAGCGTCCGCGGCTGAAGTTGGCGGCGTGTCTGCAACTGCCGCAGAATACGTCATCGTCGATTTCCCAGATTACGTCGGTCCGCTCACCCAATAGACCAGGTTAGACTATTTTTTGTCTAAGATCTATTTTGTAAAAAAAATGTCTATTAGATAACTTTTTTGTTGCCTAAGACAACATGATTTTTGGCTAAGATAACTTTTCAACATTTGTCTAAGTCTATTTTGAAGAAACAGTCTTAGACTATTTTTGGCTGTGTCTGAGACAATTTTTTTTGTCTCAGACAAATCAAAACTTCCTCAAAACTACCACAGGCACTGAGGAAGTTTACTTGCAGTTTCATCATAGGCATGAGGAAGTTTATGATACAAAATTTGCATATTATTGCAGTTTCAGTCCATGTGCATGACAAACTTCCACACTTGCAGGTTGAAACTGCCTACAAACTTCCATCAAACTACCTCCAAACTGCCACAAAAAGAAAGGAAGTTTGGAGGAAGTTTTGAAAAACAGACGAGGCAGTTTCGAGGAAATTTCCTTGAAATTTCCTCGTTTGCAGCCGCGAAAATTTGTCTAAGACAGCAGATTTTTGTCTATTAGACAACTTTTGTTTTGTCTATTAGATAACTTTTCGTCACATAAAGTTGTCTAAGACAAATCACAAAAATTTATCTAATAGACAAATTTTAAGAAAGTTGTCTATTAGACAATTTTTTGTCTAACCTGGTCTATTGGGCATGGTGGCAGGACACCCGACGTGGGTGTGCATCCCAAAGCAAACCAACAGACACGAAAAGTTTCGTGGCCTGGCTCGCACACAGTTTCCTCTCGTTTTGTGCTATGGCATGACGGTTCACAAAAGCCAAGGTTTGACCCTGTCCTCCGGCTGTGTTTTCAACATGGAACACGAACCGACTTGGTCGCCTTTCAAGCAGATGTGCGGCCTCGCCTTTGTCGGGTTTTCGCGTGTCACCGACTTTGCAATGATGGCATTCAAACACGTGCCGGATTATTGGTCTTTCCAAAGCATGGTCGACACCGACTTGTTTCGATGGCGGGCCGAATTGGAGCAGCGTTTGGATGAGTTACACGATCGAACCGCTGAGATTATGTTTGAAGGTCGGGCTTCCGTGCAAGAAGACGTGCAACGTCATCGTGCTTGGTCTGAAAGCTTGAAGGGTGCGCAGATGAGTCCTGAGCAAGTGGCTGATTTGACCCACATGCTGTCTTTGCGAGGGGTGTTGCCTCAGCCAGGTTACACGGACAAGCCTGTTCGCCGCATGGCTAGCAAAGCAGGCGGTGGCCGGACCAAGCGTAAGACCATGCGCGGTGCCACCGCGAAGACGACCAGCTTGCCGGATGTGGGAGATGGGACCAGGGAGCCGCAGTGTGATGCAGGCGGTTTGTCGGCTGACGAAGATGCGTATTATGCAGAGCTGCACGAAGAAGAGGAGTTGGAAAAGGCAGGTTTTGAGGCATACTTGGAAGACAGGGCTTTTGGAGGACGCGCGTCGCAGAGCGCAAGAAATCGCCGCTGATTTCTACGACGACGAAGGCTACTTCGATGATTCTTAGGTCAGATGCTGCCTTGAGGACGCCTGCGCAGCTGCTCAGAAATAGTCCTGGAGTGTGCCGTTGTGGGCGTTGCGGGCTGCTCCGCCAGCACCTCCTTTGCCGTAGGCTTGGCTCCTTCGCGCTGCCTGCGGGGGTGCACCGCAGATTCTCGTGAACAGTGACGGAGTACGTCGTTGCGGACTGCTCTACCAGCCTTCGCAAGCGTACGACGTGGCTTCGACATGGGCAGCACAGTGAAAAAAAGCAAAGCTGTGGGCTGGGGTGCTGCGCTGTAGGCATGAGATGTAGGCATGAGATGAGAGGAGAGCTTGCCTACGGACCATGGATGTCATGTGTTTCCGCAGCCGTTTCTTAATTGTAGTTGCTTCTTATTGGAAGTGTACATCGAGATGGAGAGACAGCGCAGAGTTGGCGCACATGCGTTGAAGCACTCATGCTTTTCTGTCCGTGGCGTGTGGTGGTGTGACCCGCGTCGCGGTGGAAATTACAAATTCGAAGCCCTGTGTAACTACATTCACTCCGACGCGCGGTGGTGCGATCCGCGTTCCTTGCTATGGCCGGGAGGCATCGATCTGCGTGCGTCGCTGCGGACCGCGCAGACAGCCGGGACGACATGCTGCTTAGGTTAGACCCCCGAGTATGCCGTTGCGGGCTGCTCCGCCAATACTTTCGTTCGCCTGCACAGCTTCTCAGGAATTGTCTTGGAGTATGCCGTTGCGGGCTGCTTCGCCAATACTTTCGTTTGCCGTAGGCTTGGCTCCTTTATGCTGCCTCTGGGGGTGTGCCGCAGATTTTTCGTAGACAGTGACGGAGTACGTCGTTGCGGACTGCTCTACCACAGCCTTCGTTGACCGCGCTGAGCAAACACGCATGGGATGAGGTGAAGAAAAGCAAGGCTGTGGGTGGTGTGCTGTAGGCATGAGCTGCATGGGCAAAAAAAGCGGAGAGCTTTTCTACGGACCATGGATGTCATGTGTTTCCGAAGCCGTTTCTTAATTGTAGTTGTTTCTTATTTGAGGTGTAGAGATGGAGAGACAGCGCAGAGTTGGTGCGCGAGTGTTGAAGCGCTCATGCTTTTCTGCGTGGCGAGTGGTGTTGTGACCTGCGTCGCGGTGGAAATTGTAAATGTGAAATCCTCTGTAACTAAATTCATTCCGACGCGCGGTGGTGTGACCAACGTCATGTCACCACCCTCGTAGCTAGAGAACCACCCCCGCCGCCCGTTGTTCCACCCTGTCCAGCCCTGCCAGAGGCGCTGGGTGAACCATTCCTGGCTCTTGTCGGGAGGCATCGATCTGCGTGCGTCGCTGTGGACCGCGCAGACAGCCGGAAAATGCGTTGCCCGACGAGGAACAGTTTCGCTGTTTTTGCACGGAGGAGCACACCAAATGTTGGAAGAAATGGTTTTGACTTTGAAAACGCCACCCACTTCGCGTGCCCGCAGCAGATGCCCAGTTGCTTCAGCACGCCGGTGTGGGCTGCTGATCTTGCCTTGGTATAGCACAGACCTTGCACAGGTGGCACTGTGGTGGTCCAAAAGTCCGGAGGGCGTGCGACTGACCAGGGACACGCATGTTGTTTTTGTTTTGGAACCCGTCCAGTCGGATTGGGTTGCCTGGGTATGATTTTTGTTTTGGATTCTGTACGTATAGCTGACCATGACTAGGGACACTGTTTGGAAAGAACCAGCGGTTGGACTGGGTTCACTGGGTGTGACTTGCTTTGTTTTGGGATCCGTACATGTAGCTGACCATGGTTTGAAGGCGCTAGCTAGCAAGCCAGAGAGCAACTGGTGACTCTGTACTACAACTTGAGTACGCGGAGCAATCTGTGCAGCTAGAAGCTGAGAACTGGCGACTTTGTCGTACAACTTTCGTACGCGGATGAGTCATCTCTCGCTGCTGAGTATCTGGGGAGCTGGAAAATGAGAACTGGCGACTTTGTAGTACAACTGTAAAGTACGCGGAGTATTTGGCAAGCTGGACAATGAAGACATGATTTTGACTTTGAAAACACCACCCACTTCGCGTGCCCGCACCAGCTGCACTTAACTTTCGCTTGCAGATGCCCAGTTGCTTCAGCACGCCGCTGTGGGCTGGTGATCTTGCTTTGGCATAGACACAACCCAGTGCGCTGATCCTGCAGGGAGCACAGACCTTGCACAGGTGGCGCTGTGTGTGTGTGCGTCAACAGTCCGGAGCGCATGCGTTTGGCTCAGTGAGTGACACGAGGGACACGCATGGTGGAGAGAACTTGGACACTCCTATAGGTCAATGTGTTCTTATAGGAAACTTCCGCCGCCGGCTTGCCCGGGAACTGCTTGTATATTTTTATTTACTTTTTTCCATTCATTTCTCCAGTACATAGCTTGCCCATGTTAGGCAAGCTGCATGCATGGCCTTTCTCAAAGCCTTTGGGCGCCTTTTCCAAAGCTTTTGGGTTGCCCTTTCCAAAGCTTCTTTGGGTGCCTTTTCCAAAGCAATTGGGTGCCTTTTCCAAAGCATTTGGGCGCCTTTTCCAAAGCTTTTGGGGTGGTGGTGTTTCTCTATTGCTCTTTGGCCTTTTCCAAAGCCTTTCTTTTGGCAGCTTTTCCAGAGTGGGCCTTTTCCAAAGCCTGCCAGCATGGCTCAGTAGTCCATGTCCTCCAGGAAAGCTTCCACTGCTTCATCAAAGCTTTTCCAAACCATTGATGAAGGCAGTGTATGATGCAGGCAGTGCTTGGTGCTGATTGCATAGCACTTGATGCCAGCAAATCTGCACTCCTGAATGACTTCAGGTGGGTCATCAATGATGGCCACAGCCTGAAACTCCTTGCGCCACTCTGCCTTGCCATTTGGCCCACTCCTCCCCCAACAGATGCGCACCCCTTCCAACTTGCTGTAGGTCCTTCCTGGAAGCAGGCTTTGGGCATCAAGCTGGACTGCTTGCTGCCTGCTCCGGCTGTTGACAAAGCTCAAGATCCATACATTTGCCACAGCCAACAGCCTTTCCAAGGCCCTGATGTGGTTGGGTGGAACAGTATTTGCCTTTTCCAAAGTATTATGCCAATCCACAACCACTGTGGGCCTGTGCCTCCTGGCCTTCAGAACCACTTTCTTTGGTTCATCTGCAGGGCTCTTTTCCAAAAGCTCTTTTCCCTTTTCCAAAGGAACATCCTTGGGGCCAGCTGCTTCACCCTTTTCCAAAGGTGGTGTGAAGCCAAGCACAGCTTCAGGCTTGGTGGGCTCTGAAGGCTGGCTCTGGCTGGCATCTGCCTCAGTCAGCTGCTCTGCAATTCCATTCTTGCCCCTCCTGGTCCTCCTCACCACAACCTTTTCCAAAGTTGCTTCCTCTTTGGCAACATTTTCCAAAGTTGCTTCTTTTGCACCCTTTTCCAAAGGTGCTTCTTCTGCACCCTTTTCCAAAGGTGCTTCTTCTGCAACCTTTTCCAAAGTTGCATTCTTTCTCTTCTTCTTGGAGCTCTTGGACCTGGCCCTGGAGGAGCTGGCTGAGGAAGAGGAGCTGTAGCTGTGACTAGTAGTTTCCTCCTCCTCCTTCTTTTGCCTCAGCTCCTCCATCCTCTCCTCAACCCTCTTCTTGGCCTTTTCCAAAGCCTCCAAGTGGCTCTCCAGCTCCTCCTCCCTTGGGTCCACCTCTTCAAGGTAGTCCCACTGCTTGTGGGCTCTTTGGGCCTTCCTTGTGGCATGGGTGGTGCCAGTGCCCTGGGCCCTCATCTTGCAGCTGTAGCCATAGTAGCCCCACTTGTTCTGGTGGGGTGGTTCCCACCACATGGCTTGGGGCTTTTCCAAACCCTCCAAGCCAAAGGGCTTTTCCAAACTCTGGGCTTTTCCAAACCCTGGGCTTTTCCAAACCTACCTAGGCTACCTAACTACAACTAGGCTGTAGTCTTGTGTGGAGCTGTGAAGCTGTGAAGTGTGTTGTGGTTAGGTTGTGAAGTGTGTTGTGGTTAAGTAGTGTGTGTTGCCTTGGCTGGCTCTGTGTGTGTGTATGCACATGCATGTTGCAACCTGGCCCTAAGCTGAGTTCAAACAGCTGCAGGAACATACATGTTCATGAGTAAGAGCACCTTTTCCAAAGTGCACATGTGCACAATATACAGTGTGTGTATATATACACACACAGAACACCTGAAAGCATCATGAAAAACTATATCAAGTATTATAAAATACCTTGAACATTATGAAGCATAAAACTTCAAAACATACAGCTTATAGGCTTTAAATTTTGTTGTTTAAAGACACCCCCAACCTGCCACCTAAGCACCATTTTTCACCACACCATTTGCAGTGTTTGGCTCACCCCCTTTTGGGATGAGCCATGTCGGGCGCCTTTTCCAAAGCCAACGCAGGTGCCTTTTCCAAAGCCAGTGCATGGAAAAGGCCAGTGCATGGTACCTTTTCCAAATTGAAGCACACAGGCCTTTTCCAAAGCCATGCTGCTGTTGCCTAGTACCCCCTTTGCTTGCGCAGCTTCTCTTTCAACTCCAAGGCTTCTGCCTTTGTCAGTGCATCCTTTTCCAAAGATGTCCAAATTTCATCGATGACCTGGCTATAGTCTGGGCACCTCTGTGCAGACACTTCTACAATGAGCTTTAGCTTTCCACCTTCCTGTGTTGTCCCAACCAAATAGGCCCTTGGTTGCTTCTTGGCCTGTGTCTTTCTAATTTTCAGCCAAGGCTTTCTCCCTTCCTTTTCCCCAGAAGTTCTTTTGTTTTTCAAGATGCTAGCTGGCCTCTTGGCGCATTCAGCCTCTGCCTTTTCCAAAGTAGGCTTGCCAGCTTCTTTCTTTGTTGTTTTCATGGCAGAAGCAGGCCTTTTCTTTGCACCAAACCCCAGGGCCTTATGCAGCTCACCCTTTTCCAAAGGTGCTGCCTTATTACCATTCCTTCTCCTGTTGAAGGAACTTGTGGCAGCAGGTGGCTCATTTCTATTTGGAGCTGCCTTCTCTGGGCTTTCCCCAAACATTCTTGGGAACCCTTGGCTGTCCATGGTGGCATCACTGTCATTCTGTTTCAGTTTCTTATTCAAGGCTTCACTTTTTCTTTTGTTTCCTGCAGCCTTTTCCAAAGCAGTTGCCTTTTCCAAAGCAGGTGCCTCTTCCAAAGCCCTTTCTGGAGCAGGTGCCTTTTCCAAAGCAGGGCTTGACAGCAACTGCAGGGAGTTCTGCAAGGCTTTGAACTCCTCCCTGGTCGGCTTGGCTGCAGCTGCTGTCAAGCTCTCCCTGCCCAGCTTCCTGACATGATACAGCATGGTGTTGAGCCTCTCCAGTTTGATGTTCACCCATGCTTGCCCTGAAAACCTTGTCGTGTTCATCTCAGGGGCCTCTGCCAACAAGGTAATCAAAGCTGTTCTCATTGGCTGGGAGTGGATCTCCCCTGAACTCTCCAGCCTCAAGAGCCCTGCCCATAAGGGCATGGTCTGCACCAGTCCCTTTGGATCTGGCGCATTGGCTCTGCTAATGAGCTCATAGGACCCCATGTCACTTAAGGTGGCTTGGTGTTCTGTCAACACCTTCAGCACTAGGCCACTATCCACATAGGGCTTGGCAAAATGCCTAGCCCCTCCTCTTCCCCCCTCTACAGGGAGCTTGGCCATGTCTAGTGGCCTTTTCCAAAGCCACAATGGCCTTTCCCAAAGCCAAAAGTGTTTAGGCTTTGATATATCTCACAAGAAACCCTTAGGCAAAATTGCTTCAAACAGCTGCAGAAAAATCAAGAGAGAAATCAATAGAAACCTCAAAAAGAAAATCAATAGAAAGCTCAAAAACCAAATCAATAAAAAAACTCAAAAAAACCTTTCAAAAAACTACAATTTTCTCGATTGATTTTCCAGAATTTTGGGAAAATCAATCGAAAACATATACCACCAGATTGATCCTAATCAAAAAGCGATGCTCAGGGGACCACGCCTGTTGGCGTCCCTGCCGAACAGCTGGTTCTTTTGAAGCTGCGTCCAGAAGTGAAACCTGGTGAGATACCAGATTCTGCCATTTTCTTGGTTTCTGGATCACTCGCTGCCTGCTCACCATCGGCTTCGGCAGGATACCCACATCACATCCATGCTTACTGCTCCGAAGGAAGTAGAGAAGCCTCCACAAGTCTGGAATTGCTGCATCCAAATTCTCGTGCCCAGAAAGAGCTGAACTCAATGTTACCTTGTCACAGGCCACCTTGAAAGCTGCACTCTCTTTCTCGCCCTCAGCAATGGATTCATTCACGACTTCATTTGTTCCCTCAACCATCTTTGGGTCATCCAATTTTGAAGTCTCTGACTGGAGGTTCACTGCGTCTGGATTGGCTTGGAGTTCATGGCTCTCTCTGATTCTGGTGAAGACCTTGGTAGGTTCCTCCTCCGGAGGTTCATCTGCCACACCACCTGCAGCCACAGGGTTGCCACGCGATGACATCTGTGACCAGAAGAATTCTGGCAAACAATTTCCAGACAGTATCTGTGTTTTTTCAAGCTACCAGCAATGTCTTGGCCTTGGGCTTTATACAAAAAACATAAAAAAAACATGAATATATAAAAATAAATTTGTAACCAAACAGTCTGCGCCTTCTGCGTCTGGATCGTCCACTAAGTCGTCATCCTCTGCAAAGCCTGCTGCGCGGGCGAGGTTGAATGCTGCCTGAAGGTCGGCGCGGGTTTGTCTGAACACATGGCAAACAACTTGAGGGCAGCTTGGAAGGATCTGGCTGCTGTGGCACAGAATGTGTTCTCACTCATCCTTTCACCAACTTCAGCTTGAGGAGGCTGTGGTTTCTGCTGTGCACTCTTCACCTCCTTCTGCATTAGAAACAAGCTGGCACGCCAGTAATCTCCCACGGACATCTGGGCAGAAGGGTAGCAGCTTCTGATGCGGCCGAACCTTTTCTCCAGTTCCAGTTCTGTGAGGCGCTGGTATACCAAGGGCAACAGACTTGATGAGGAATAGCAATAGCAAATGACTGCGCAGGCCATGTTCCGCATGCAGCGCGCTGGTCGATCGTCTAACCAGACGTCCCGAAGCTTGCGCCCACTGCGTGCAGCACGTTCTTTGGCCATGACAAAGCCGAAATCGAGAAGCAGGAGACCTAAAGTCCAGGGCTTGGCCACAAAAAATGACAAACACACATACTTGATGGAGAGAACAGGGCCCACTTGTAAAACCAGGTTCCCAAACATCAATTGCACGCAGGTCTAACATGATTATCCCAAATCACATGTGTTGCATATGTTGCAACAGTGGTAGGTGCCTTTCATTTCAGACCCTACTGTCACATCTGTACACCACTGCAAAAGCAAACAATTCTAGGTCTGGAATGGTCTCCCCAAAGCATGCGTCTAGTGTACATTACCACATTGGTAGTTGCCTTCCATTCCAGACCTCACCCTGCAACCAGCAAGGCATTGGCGTCCAGAAAATCTGCCCAACCACACAACTGCACACCACAGCCAAATCAAATAAGTCTAGGTCTAGGTCTAACATGGTTCTCCCAAGACTGTCTAGTGTCCATTGCAAACAGTGCTAGCTGCCTTCCATTCCAGACCCTGCAACAAACAAGGTGCGCCCAGAAAATCTGCTGAGGCACCAGTCATTGCATTCTCGAGGCGCTCTCGGACATCCAGATCTCCATGCAACAGAGACGCCTCAACAGGGGCACTGAAGAATATCCATCAAGACAACTGCTGAGCATTCACAGAGACCTGGACTCCGACGTGCCCCAGTAGCTTCTTGCATCTTCTTTGAAAAAAGGTCACTACTGTTGATTGCCTAAAGGATCCTACAAGTCTAGCCTGGATGAGTGCTCCAATCATCGACATCAACATGGCACCCTGCAAGCACCATGGTACAACCACTTTCCCGCGATGATGAAGTTAGCCGGAGAGAGCCTGGGCCCAACAAAAACACAAGAAATCCTGTGTTCACAACATATGTGAAGTCGTCTGTTGTCTGCGCTGGAAGGAAAAATTGGGGCCATGGTCAGAAAAGCTTAAAAATAAAGGAACATAGAAATAGATCTAGAAATTCACTCAAGATCACTCAAGCTGAGCCAAGAAACCAAAGTGCAGCTTGCTTGTCAGACATGGTGTCAGTGCCGACATAGGCGCATGGAACTAGTCCCAGCTCCAGTGCAGCTGACTCGTCCACAAACCGCGTGCCAAAGTGTATTGTGCCGAGGCTGGACCTGAGCTGTTCAACGAAGTTCTTCTGGCAATGGGCCAAACCAGGCCACCAGTGAACAGTGTCCTGCCCATAGAACGCAATCCTGGCTCCAATCGGAAAGCAACAAAGAGGCAAGTCCTGGAACCTGAGCTTCGAGAAGAAAGGCACCAATGACTTCAACTCATCTGACAAGGGAACATCCAGACCTTGCATCCACAGAGCCATAAACAAATGCGAGCCATGGGCATCAGCTATCACATGCTTGACACTCTGGGCTGCTTCCAAAACTGCACCAATCCTGCAGAGAACTTGCCAATTTCCTCGTTTGCGAGGATCTGCTGCCTGTTCTTCGAAACGGTGGTCCTTTTCAGCTGCACTAGTGCATGGGAATGCTGCTATCTCTAAAGTTGGAGAAGCTTTGCGGGTGCAGTCCCACACAACACAGGCTTCCATATCATTTGCCAAAATCCTGCCTCTCTTCAAGATGACATCAGTGGTAGTTCCATCAGGAGCCTTCATGACAAGTTGACTTTCATCTGGGAGATCGAAATTGTTTGGCCTGCGCGGGCCTCCCACCATGACATGACCCTTTGTTGTGAGGGCCAACTGACTGCACTGAGTCATGTAGGTCCTGTCAAATGCCATGACCAAGCGCCTCTGTGGGCAGGCATCAGCCTTGCCAAACAATGAGGAAATAATGTGATCATTCGCCAAAAGCTCAGAGGAGTCTGGAGCAGTATGCCATGGCAGGCCCAACTCTGAAACCTTGGACAGGCAACCGCGCCAGTTGTTCCGGTGAATCCATTGAAGTCCAAAGTATTGCAAGGCACTGTTGTTGCAGCCAGCAGCTGCCATCTCGGCTCCTGCCTGAATGAGAAGCTGTCGCTCTTCGAGCTGAGTGCGGTTTGTAGGACTATCTTAAGGAGGTCTGTCATGATATACTGTAAGTATTGTCTTTTGGCAGCAATGGATCAATAGACCCATGTCCATTGTAGACCCATCTATATATATATATATCATTATCCAAATTGGTTGGAGGGCTTCAGGGGAAGTATCTTGATGGAGGGTCTCACGTGATATACTGTAAGTATTGTCTTGTGGCATCAATGGCTCAATAGACCAATGTCCATTGTAGACACATCTATATATATATATATCGTTATCCAAATTGGTTGGAGGGCTTCAGGCGGAATATCTTGATGGAGAGTCTGACATGATATACTGTAAGTATTGTCTTGTGGCATCATTGGCTCAATAGACCAATGTACATTGTAGACCCATCTCTATATATCATCATCCAAATTGGTTGGAGGGCTTCAGGGGAAATATCTTGATGGAGGGTCTGACATGATATACTGTAAGTATTGTCTCTTGATGGCATTAGCTAAATTCTGGAATGTCCATAGTAGACCCAGCCATCAGAAACCTATCTCTGTGCACCAAAAAATAGAAAACAGATTAAACGTGGTTGGCAAAGCTGCGCTTTGAATTCCTCATTGCCTTCTTGCCCTCTTCCTCATTCTGCAGTTTGGTCATGCATGCAACCAAAACTCCTTGCATAGCTGGGTGTCGCGACAACTGCCCTGTGACAATACTCCTGACCAAGGACACATCGAAAGAGTTGGCCTGGGGATCATTCGTCAAGAACTGGAGAAGTCTATCCAGGCATTTGTGCGGAATCGGGTGTCCCGGTTCGGTGTCCAAGCAAGGTTGGACAACTTGCGCACGAAACAAATTCAGAGCCTCGGTCATGGGCTGCCCAACACGACCATTCCAAACGCACATGACACGGTGATGAAGGACCTTCACATCTTTTTTGAAGGAGGCATCATAGAGTGACTTGGATCGACGGCTGTAGTTTGGAAGCTGCTGCAAGGAGCTAATGAAGTCATTCACAGTCTCGGGCGCAAACATCTTTTTATGCAAGAGCTGCGCTTCGTCAAGGCTGTGCACAAATCCACAGATCTTTTGGATAAAGCGCGAATGGCTGCCAAGATCGAAACATTCCCGACACACTGCATCCTCATCAGACTTGTGTACCTGATGAGGCCACATGGAAAAATTGAAGCGACTGTTCTTGCTGGTAGGTTCACTACGATTGGTCATCTATTGCCCCCTGGCCACCAACAAAGAAGACATAAGAACACATAAGAAAGCAACTCTCCACTAGGATAAAGGCAAGCTACCAGACGAACATCATCTCCCCCACACTTGCCTGAGCGAATGATCCAATCCCCAGTGTTGCAAATGGCCGTGATGGTGTGGCTCGGAAAGCCACTCGGTCCCTCTACCCGCTTCAAGTTGGCATACTTCGTGTACTGCTGCCACACCTCGAACAAGTCTGAGCCAAGTCTGGTCTTTTTCCCAAAGTCCGAAAGCAACCTCAAACCCAGACACCTTCCCTTTGAAAAGTCCGGTAGCTGCTTCATCTATTGGAGCGACAGGCTCTTCCTTGATTCCGTCGGCGTGCATCTTCCACCTCCTTCGGTGCTCTTGTCCATTTGTGTGCTGAGCCACCTTTGCCCGATTCCTGCCTTCAAACACAGCGCCGTTGCAATGAGGGCACTGCACTGGGAATCGTTTGGAATGCGTGTTTTTCGGCAAGACTTCAGGTTGCGCAAAGCAATCAAAGCCGCCTTGTCCATGATAGACTCCATGCTCTCATCCACTTCATTCCTCTGTTGATCCTCAGGCTGCTGATCTGGCTGACAGTCTTGCTTGGGCTCGAGTTTCACTGGTTTCTCTGCCTTGACAGGACACTTGCTCTCCTGCTTGACAGAAGCGCCCTCTGATTGGGCATCAGGCGCAGGCGGCGGTGCAGGACATCTGCTCTCCTGCTTGACAGAAGCACCCTCCGATTTGGCATCAGGCGCAGGCAGTGGTGTAAGCTTTTTGGCATGTTCCAAAGCCCACTCTGACTTGCGAGGCGCCTCACACACCGACTGGGTCTACAATGGTTTTCTCAGGAGCAAATCGATATAACTCATATCATGCACTAATAGTTTTTCAAGCTAGACACAGAAAAAATGCAACAAACACACCCAACATCATCCGACCACATGGACACAAAGGTCTACCATGATGATCAGCCACCTAGACATATCTGTTCACAGGAGCCTGGTAAGGACATTTCATGATAGACCTTCCTATGACCCTCATGGATCTTAACAGACCTGCCCCCTTTCCACCATCTGTTAAGATGTAATCAACAAACACACCCAACATCATCCGACCGCATGGACACAGGGGTCTACCATGACGATCAGCCACCTAGACATATCTGTTCACAGGAGCCTGGTAAGGACATTTCATGATAGACCTTCCTATGACCCTCATGGATCTTAACAGACCTGCCCCCTTTCCACCAACTGTTAAGATGTAATCAACAAAAACACCCAACATCATCCGACCGCATGGACACAGGGGTCTACCATGATGATCAGCCACCTAGACATATCTGTTCACAGGAGCCCGGTAAGGACATTTCATGATAGACCTTCCTATGACCCTCATGGTTCTTAACAGACCTGCCCCCTTTCCACCATCTGTTCAAGGCACAAGGTGGCGCTCTTTGGCAATCACCAAATCCTTGTCCACCTTCTCCTGAAGAGAGCGCAGGCTGGCGATCAGCTGCGGCTGGTCCAGCTTACGGAACTGCAAAAAGGATTGGCAGGTTGCGCATTTGTTGGGCCACTCGCCACCAGCCTGCAGCTGCATGGGACTTGCGTGGTTTGGATGGAAGTGGAGGATCAACAAATTCGATTGGTCAAGTCCGGCAGCAAAACCGATACATCACTAATGTTGACCCTTAGGCCGTGGATCAGGAATGATTGCCAACAAGAAACAATGCACGATCGAAAGTCAGCAAAGAATCCAGTTGCACAGGCCGGCTGGCCACGCCTTGGCACAACAGTGGGTTTGGGGGTCTGAGATGGTTTTCACGTACAAGAAGCTCGGTGAAGTAGAGCCATGGATTTGGGAAGACCAATTCAGAACCATAGTGAGGTATCTTTCCTTCTTGAAAAGCCAACTAGGTTATGTGAGTCTCTGGACAGGTTTGGGGATCTGAGATGGTTTTCATTCACCAGAAACTTGGCAAAGTAGACCAATGGACTTGGGAAGATCAATTCAGACCCACAGTGAGGGATCTTTCCTTCTCGAAAAGCCAACTAGGTTATGTGAGTGTCTGGGCAGGTTTGGGGATCTGAGATGGTTTTCATTCACCAGAAACTTGGCAAAGTAGACCAATGGACTTGGGAAGATCAATTCAGACCCATAGTGAGGGATCTTTCCTTCTTGAAAAGCCAACTAGATTATGTGAGTCTCTGGACAGGTTTGGGGATCTGAGATGGTTTTCATTCGCCAGAAACTTGGCCAAGTAGACCCATGGACTTGGGAAGATCAATTCAGACCCGCTGAGGGATCTTTCCTTCTCGAAAAGCCAACTAGGTTATGTGAGTCTCTGGACAGGTTTGGGGATCTGAGATGGTTTTCATTCGCCAGAAACTTGGCAAAGTAGACCAATGAACTTGGGAAGATCAATTCAGACCCATAGTGAGGGATCCTTCCTTCTTGAAAAGCCAACTAGGTCATGTGAGTCTCTGGGTAGGTTTGGGGATCTGAGATGGTTTTCATTCACCAGAAACTTGGCCAAGTAGACCCATGGACTTGGGAAGATCAATTCAGACCCATAGATCATGATTTTTTCCTCGAAGGCTGCCCAAGTTAAACACATGAAATGCCACATCACTGCCTCTCCTTGCAAGCTTCTTCCAGCTGCATCTGCAGCCCCTGCGCCCACCGCATTCTGTCCTGCAGTGCTTTTTTAATGCGCAGTAGAAAGTGTCGACATTTTGAAGCCACCTGAGATGGATGAAATTCTAACACTTCTGTCTGTCCTTGACCGCCGGGATGAAGGTCATCCAGGTCCAATCCACAGGATGCCCAGGCCTCAAAAGCTGAGCTTCGAAATGCAAAAGCCGAGACAGGATATGACAATATCATTGGATGAGACATGTCAAAATCCAAATTTATGAATTTCCATATTTTTCTATGAATTTCAATATCCAGCCAAGATGCGTAAATGCCTCATGTGGCGATTTCCGGGGCACACCGGAGTATGAATAGAAGGTTTTTGTGCACCTAGCTCGCCACAGCTGGAGCCCTGTGTCCCACTTGACATCTACCCCCGCTTCTCCGCACTTTGTGCAAGCAGGAGGATCCTTTGGCTTTCTGTCAGCCATCTTGACAGATCCAAAGCGAAAATTGAGCCAAAATGGCCTGCATCAATTGAAGTCATCTGAACAAAGCAGCTGGCAGCCGTTTGAGATCTGAGTCTTCATCTCGAAGTTTTCAATCAAGACTCTAAACAATTACTGATCAAGTTCTTGGTGGATCAGGCTCAATAAAAACTCAAAAAATATCAAAAAACAGGCGCGAGGTCTAAAGTGATAAACCTATAGTCTAAATGTCGGAGTATAGCATGTCTATAATCTCCTTGTCCCGTATATATAAGGGGTCTACCATGAACGAGGGAAAAGGTCTACTTTGATCGGTCCCACCATGTCAGACCTTGGCCTGCTCATACCCTAAGGTACCCCCATTCCAGACCCTATGTAGTTTGGGGGATATGAAAACTGCATGCAGTGCCTGCGTGCATGAAGTCGCTAGCTTAACTCTAAGTCAGCGTCATCCCAAATGACAAAACCACAACTGTCACAGGGCACCTTGGCGGCCTACAACCTTTACACGCGGAATGCAATCTCCACTTGAGCCTAGAGAGGCATACAGCGATATGACAGAGTACCATGGATATGAAAGTGTCCACGATCCAAAGGTCCTAATAGGGATTGTTGATGATGATGATGATCCTGGAACATGTTAAAATGTCATTTGGCAAAAGTTTTTCTTGAGTTGGCAAAAGTATTTTTGACGAAAGATAAGCTAAAGTCTGAAAAGTCTGCTCTGAAAATTGCGAAAGAATGGCTAAAGTCCAGCTGATGAAAGGTGAACGTTCACCCTGACACATCTGTCCCTCTGCCGATTATGGGTAAGCCTATGATACAGTTCTATGATACAAATGACGTGATATGCTTTACATTGTATGATTTTCATGTGTCTATGCACCTATTTGCTTCCTATACATGGTCAGAAGTTTGATATCTGTCATACCATTTGCATGGCAAACAGAAATACAACATTCTTTGGTGAAAAATAACGTGTGAAACGGTGAAAGTTTGGCTAAAGTATTGTTTGTTGGCTAAGAATGATGGATCGCGGATGAAGGAATTTAGACAAACACCCATATACAAAAACCATTCCAGTGTGGACACATCTCCTTACATGCATCAATATCCAAAGGGCCACTTGCTCGGGAACAAGGGGCCAGTTCCCAAGAACAGAGATTTGGGGCTTATTAACGTTCTTGTGAACGCACTTTCGACACTTACCCTACGCTTGGTCTCTTCTGTGTCTCTGATCTGACGTTGTCCAGGGGTTTAGGTTTGGGTTCGGGTGGGGTCTATTAGCGTTCTTGTGAATGCACCTTCGACACTTACGCTGCGCTTGGTCTCTTCCGTGTCTCTGATCTGACGTTGTCCAGGGGTTTGGGTTTGGGTAACAGTGGGGTCTATTAACATTCTTGTGAATGCACTTTCGATACGCTACGCTTGGTCTCTTCTGTGTCTCTGCTCTGACGTTGTCCAGGGATTAAGGTTTGGGCTCGGGTGGAGCCTATTAACGTTCTTGTGAGTGTACTTTCGACACTTACGCTACGCTTGGTCTCTTCTGTGTCTCTGATCTGACGTTGTCCAGGGTTTAGGTTTGGGTTCGGGTGGGGCCTATCAACGTTCTTGTGAATGCACTTTCGACACTTACGCTACGCTTGGTCTC